AGAAAAGGATCTAGGGGTTATAACATGTCACAATTGAACATGAATCAATGTTCCACTATTTAAACAAGCCAAAGCTATATTATGATGTATTATAAAGGAGTATCATGTAAAAGATATTCAGAGTAATTGTTTTACTCTCTTCAGCAGTGTCAAAATCTCAGATGGAATTTTGAGTACTGAGCTTCAAAAAAGACATGCCCAAATTGGAGAGGGCCCGTGAAAAAGAAAAAAAATTTCAGAGGTCTAGAAAACATGACCTATGAGGAAAGATTGAAAGAACTGGTTTTGTTTAGTCTAAAGAGATGGAAGAGGGGAGACATGATAGCAGTCTTCAAATATGAAAAAGGTTATTGCAGAAAGGAAGGTTAATCTGCCCTCTGTGTCTAATAGGGATAAAACAAGAAGAAACAGCTTGAATTGCAACAAGAGATATTAGGTTAAGATATGATGGCTAAATACAGATAGTCAAAAAGCCCAAGGCTGAATCCCAAGGCCCAAGGTTAGTCTGAACTGCATAGATTGATCCAATAAGCAAGTGAACAGGCATTCACTTTTAATTCTGGACATACAGCCACATGCCTGCAGTAGCCAAAGCCGGAAATCAAGAGGCACTAGAGCACACCTCCCTGTTGGGCTGGAGCAGACAGCTTGGACCAATGCTAGCTTTCCCACCCTGCAAGGGGTAGGGGATTGTGGGGGAGGTGCAAAGCATCCTGGGATGCTGGGGGGGACACTGAGAGTTAACTTGAATCTGAAGGGGAGCTGGGACAGAAGTTCAATAAGCTGATGTAACCTAAATCAGTTCAGTCTGATACTGCATCCATCCAGGTTTATTTTAAACTGGTTTTGGCCATTTTGTTTTGTTACAGAATTGAACCAGTTTCTGATCACTTATACCAATTTATGTGTAAATTCTGTCCCTAGCCTAAGGGAAACTTTCTCTTAATTCTTTTCATGATAGTTAAGCTTTGGAAAATATAAACTAAGGAGCTTGTGCATCTCATTTCTTGGAGGTTCTTAAGAAGGAGCTAGACAAATATCTGTTAGAGATTATTTTGGTATAGTTGATCCTGCCTTTGGGGCAAGGTGATGGACTAAATGACTTTTGTAAGTCCTTCCCTTTCTGTTTTTTTTTCTATGCTTCTATCGGAATGTTTTTCAGTGGCTGGTGAATGTTCAGTGCAGATAAAGGCATGCCTAGCTCATGATTGCTTTTCACCCTCACTTCTCACATAAGTACTGCTTCAGTTGCATTTCTCCTGTTAAGGGTAAAAGTCACCATTGTTTTGTGGTTGGTGGTTGTTTTTTTTGGGGGGGTGGGGTTTGCTTGTTTTTAAAACTCTACTCCTTATGTCCACTGTTACCTCTTTTCTTTTGGTTCTGGGCAATGGGAAAAAGCCTTGATATAGGGATGAGAGGTGGTCGTAGTACTAACAGGTATAAAGGGTAGATTAGAAATCAGAGGACTTTTGGGGGAGCTATAGCTATAGTTTCATATAAATTGAATAACTGTATCAAAGATTGTACCTTAACTCACCTGTATAGCGTGTATTCATGACCAAACTGTGGACACATTCCTTGGGTTTTGCAGTATTCCACATCTCTACATTTTAGAGTGCTTTAGGGCTTACCCTAAATTTAATCAGGTCTAATTAAATTTCTATTCAGATGCATGTCTGATAAAACATTGTTAGATACAAATGCATTTCTAGAAAACTTGTCCTGATACAATTAAAATGAAAGTTCAAAGGAAGGTTCATTTAACTGCAAAAAATATAAAAAGTGTAAAAAAGATGATGAATTTATTCATGCCACATTTAGATTCCATTAAGTATTATTGTCATTAGCATTCATGTTTTTTTAAAGGATAAAAGCTTTTATAACACTGCTGCTATGCTAACTGCATTTCTGAAGAACAATTTTTGTGGTAGGCTTTTGTTAATCTGAACAAGGCTTATTAAATAATAACTGTAGGGTGGTGGTGTATGTTTTCATCATGTAATTCTCAAAAACATGAAGCAAATACATTAATGCACCAGTTTTAGTGATTTTCATGTTTGTGATGGGTTTTGTGGAACAGCACAGCATATTTAGGGTTATTAATGAAAACTGACTGAAAATGTAGTGTAACTTTACTGCTTAAATACATTTGGAAGCAAAAGTTCTCAGTGTGTATGAACTTCTTTATTCTCTAGGCATCTTTAAAACTTTCAAAATGTAAAATTAAGCTAATACTTACTATGAAATATATTCTATTTAACTTTTTTTTCCACCTCCAGTTACAGTCCCAGAAGATCTTACAAAATGCTAAAGCTATGAATAACATTAAAATGCCATTTAATGTGTCAGGGGAAAAATTTGTTTATTTTTTCCTAACTAAAAAGACTTGAGTGAAAGCTTTTCCCTCTGCAGTTCTTACAAGTTTTCAAGTAGGTGGAGAAGGCTGTTTCTAGCAGCAGATGATACCAGATGCTCAGTTGTCTAGGGATGTAAACTTTAGTTACTGGAGACTAGTCTTATCACTTTGCCTTGAGGCAATAGGTTGTGTGTGTAAGGCCATATGACTAGTGAGTTTTTTTGTTAATTTTTCAGGGTTGTGGAGTTTCACAAAACAGTGCATGATATTTTTGCAGAAAATACAAGCAATATGATAAAATGAATGGGCTTCTGTTAAAGTTTTGGCAATTATTTTTTTTCTCACCGCTGGAAGAGCAGAAGTTTCGCAAGCATGTAGCTGGCAACAGCCCTCTCTTAATAAATGCATGTAACTAGCTTTTGAGCAACATTCATTTAATGGTAAAAACAGGTGTAACAAGCAGAGTTGGCACCCTGGGCAAGCCCTATGGGAAAGCCATGGGGGATGGGAATAGTGTGCACACATTCTGAGCAGGGGGCAACAGTCTTACTCATGGTGGGAACTCCTAAGCAGTCCCTAGCTGAGCTGTGGTTGCTACTGCTATGTGCTCTGCCTGCCTCAACTATTGCTTTTAAAGCAGCAGCAGTTTCCGGGAATTGTTTTGGTGTTCCTGGGTAAGACATGGGTTGCTCCTGTGTCTGGGATACAGATTCCATTGGGCTGGGGGTGTGATTCCTGTGCCCTTTCTAACTTGGTGCCCAGGATAGGTTAGTGCCCTTTTTTTCCAGCTCTAATTACACTACTGTGTTGAAGAAGAGATGGGAAATGGTATTTTCAAATAGGTTATTCTTGCAAGTCTACTACTGATTAAAATGACTCCATAAATTACTGAGGTCTGCAATTTCTTGTAATCCTTGCTGTAACGTTAAATAATTGAGACTTTTGTACAAATAAGACAAGACGGTATCTACAATTACATTTGACATATAAGATAAGATTATTCCTAACATTGCTGCTAATTATTTCAAAACTTGTTCCTTTGGGGGATCTTAGCCCTTTCCTCTGCTTATATGGTGTTGGGCATGGTTGGAGACAAGGTAGTGAACAAGATAGCCAGTGTCCTGTTTTATTTGGCAGTTATTGTGCTGTTCAGGGCATGAATAATGTTGTTCTTAAACTTGACCTGTAATTAAATAAGCAAATGTATCCATTTTACAGTTATGAGATGAATTCTCTTAAGCAGTAGGAAGAGAGGCACTGGGCACGGACTTGACTTCCAACATGACTTTTTTTTGTTAGCAGGTTCAGAAATCCGCATATCAGACATTTTCAGCTTTAGAAGTGCAGCATTGCTGACTGCACTCTTGGAGTATTACTTTCCCCTAAGTTACCCTACAGGACCTAACCTCCAGAGGTTAAGTAAAAAGCCTGAACTTCCTCCAAACAGCGTGTGGTTAACAGAAGCAGCAATTGATCTTTGATTGGAGTGCATTTCTGAAAAATGTCATGACATTATCCTATCCTATCCCAGGGATAATAGCAAAACTTTTGAATATGTATGTTGCTGGAGAAAACAGCAGTCCACTACACAGATGGCTTTGGTGTACCAGAAGCCTGCAGCACAGTGTGAAGCAGTTCTCACTGCATTTTTGGACCCAGTTCTAAGGGGAAAACAGTAATAGGTCTGGACCAATGGAACTAATTTAAAATGTTGAATTTCCTTCTCTGTTTGTTTGGTTTTGTGTTTTTTTTCCCAACTACAACTAGAATGGTATAAGACTGTAAAATTATATATTAAACTAGCAGTTCTTTGTAAAGTTTTATTAGCCCTAAACTAGGGTTTCTGCCCTATTTTGTCAATGAAGCAAATGCTTTATTTCAATGCTTTTTATATACTATTAATGCTGAAAAGTAGCTTTGTTTCCAGATGAGTGAATCAAAATGTTATTTAAAAGGTTGAAAGGATTTTAACTATTTGATCTTTGTATTTTCAGGTTCCCACTAGGTGGCAAGGTAGTGCCAGGGCTAAGGAATCATATAAATTAATATTTACATCAATATTTAATTTGGCAAAAGCAAACAGTTCAAGCTTGAAAATATTCAATCCAGTTTTAATATTAAGGGTTTGAAAGACAGTTTTAATTGATCATTCCAGGCAGATATTAAATAGATGTCTAAGTGTTTTTGGTTCACAAAAAATGTACTATGGTTTACATGAGTGGCACGAATGGAAATTTATACCTGTATCTCAGCTCCCTCAATCATATATCCCTCTGCCACAGTTGTGGTAAATAAAGGCCAACCAGAGACTATTAAGACTTCCAGGTTAGTACTTTTGTATGTTAGCACAGAGCAGCAATATTCTGGGAAGTGTGTTAGATCTCTTGTATTAACATAGTTAAAAAAAAAAAAGTAGCATAAATCTTGAATTTGTCAGGTATTTCATTAATGGAGGACCAAACTTAAATCAATTCCATTCAATTTAGTAAAGCCTACAATGATAGTTGTTCCTTTTATGAACAAATGAAGAATTCTCACTGTTTTATCACAAATGCTGTGTAAAATCCCTATCCTTTGTGTGGTTACTATGCAATTCAAAGAAATCAACTTTAAGGAAAATAATTTTTTTAATTTAATATTTTAGGAAAGCCCAAGAAGAAAACAAGAAAGTGGTTTTAGCTGGATGTGTCCCACAAGCCCAACCTCGTCAGGACTACCTAAAAGGCCTAAGCATCATAGGGGTAAGAATATGCATCAACTAAAGATCTGTTAAAATATTCGTTTTCTTGCCTTAAAAAGGTGAATGGTTACTCAATAGCGATCTACTCACCAGTTGGTAAGGCTCAGGGGAATGTCCTACACTCAGAAATCAGAGCCTATATCCACAGAATAATAATGTCCACAGGTACCCCAGCTAGCCCTGTTGAGAAGCAGGAAGTATAGGCTTGGGTGGGGAGCATCACTAATGTATCTGTATTGCCACAAACCTCACTGTGTTCTGCGGTGGTCATGGGTTGTTATCCATATTTCCTTGAGTTTACTGATATAGCATGTATAGTCTCTACATATAGGTAGGGACCTACTTAATTCAGGGTTTTATGGTTTTTGTGATTGATGGTAAATGTTCAATTGGCCTTGATTTCTTGTGAAATCAACCTAACCCCCCTCCCCGAACATATTATTCATATAATACTCTGCTTGACTGTTTTAGAATCCCCCCATCTTTACCATGATACTTAGACAATGCAGCAATCCCTGCAGCCACTCTCATGTGCTTGAGATTTGCTGACTGTCTGCAGTGATGGAGAGGCCTCTCTACCAGTGTGCGGCAAGGGGTGGGGATGCCGGGAAATGCCTGCAAAATCGGCCCTTTGTGCCACAAGCAAGCTGCAGAAACGACTATGTCTTGCCACGAGTTAAGGTACATATAGGTAATGCCAAAGTGTGTTCAGTCTTATCCTTATGTTTATATGAATTGTGATATTTCACATAAATGTGTTTCTTATAAGTTATACTAGGGCTAGGATTGTATAACAGATTTTATACCTGGGAGAGGCTCGAAGGATAAATGGCTAAAGAAAGGCAATCACTGACAAACGTTAGCCAACATGGGTGGGCTAAATTGCCAAGCAAGGCTATATCTAGGCAAGGCATCCTTGTCTGAAAGACAAGACAAGGATGCCTTTACATTTTTAAAGGACCCTATGAAAGTAACACCTGGCTATTCAGGCTATACTGAGGAAGACATTTTTAATAGTGGGGAAATTAAGTGAGAGACAATATCTTTAAGATACCGGATTACTAACCTTCATGTCTGAAAGGAATCAAATATTCTCTGGCTTGTAATTGGACTTGGAAAGACCTCTAGACTGGTAAACGTGAACCTTTGTGGGGGCATAATGTGGGGCTTCCCAAGAATCCTATGGCTGATGCATATGAATGATCAGATAAGCTGTATTAAGCCTTGCCAAGAGAGCAGGTCTTTGTCTTTAAGTTTTCCCGGGTATAGGGAAAAGTTTCAGATCTTCAGTATCTTCAGATGGAGTATTCTGAAGAGGAGGAGGAGGAGTGGTAGGGGGCCCTGGCAGAAAGGTCAGAGGCAGGGGCTGTTTTTTAACCTGTTCAGGTAGATAAAAGCTGCCTTCTGGGGTATGAGATGCAGGGTAAATCCAAATTATTGCTCTGATATTCTCTTTTGTTTGTTTATTCTTTTATCTGTCTGTTGCAGTATATGGTTACTGATTTCCTATGTTTCCTCTTGTATTTATAATTTTTTGGTTATCTTTCATAATTTACTTATTGTCAAGGTAAGCATGATTTCAGAGTATGTCACTATACAAGCAGGTCTCGTCTCTGAAAGCGGGGGTGCATTTATTCTGAGTGCATAACCAGACAAGGGTGTGATTCTTCTGGCTAGCAAAATACTGTCTGCTTTGGTTAAGACCTAAATGAAGCAAGTAATTTTGAGGCACTATAGGTCAGGGAGGTCACCTTTAGAGCATCTCATTCTGTTCTTAGTGGTCAGGCAGCAGGGGTGGGGGGGTTGAGGATCCCTGAAGGTAGGAGAACACCTCAGATGTGTGACTCAAAGGCACCCTGGCCACACCTGAGGTCAGGGTGTGTCATAGGTATGTCTTTCAGTACCTCGGCTGGCTTGGGTATCTCTGCATGGCAGTCCATTTGCCATAAAGACACCTACAGATTCTTCAGAAAACTTTTCAGGGCTGGCAGCTGGGGTCCACTCTTTTTTTGTGCAGGGAGAAACAAAGTTCAGTATCTCTTTAAAATCATCTTGTCTTGGGTTTACTCTGGCCTGATGGAAAAAGCATTTTTGCATATACTCTGCACAGAATTTCAGGTTAGTACCCCATGTGACCCATAGAGGGTGAAGAAGAGGGTTTTTCTCTCTTTTAAAATGTAGTTTCATTGTGTAAATATGAAGCATTCTAATATGTCAACATACACATAAAAGAATACACAACTGACTATAGTCTATAAATTAGACCAGGGTCGGCAACCCCAAAAACATGTGCCAGAACATGGCATACAAGGCCATTTTGCTCAGCATGCCAGTCCAGGCTCTGGACAGCTGACTTTGGCCATGGAGCCCAGGTTGCTTGTAGCAGGCAGCGGTGAGGCTGCAAGCCCAGCTGCCCAGAGCCTGGCCCAGCCATGGCAGGCAGCCAGGAGGCAGCAAACAGCTGTACCAGGCTTTGTTGCCCCAGCTGGGTTCTGTGGTGGTAGCAGCTGCATGTATGCCTCGGCACATGGCTGGGAAGGGGCCTGAGGCAGTGGAACCCCAGGCCCTTGCCCTCCATGCACCCCAAGGTGCACATGCAGCTGCCAGTGCCACAGAGCTAGTGCTGGGGCTCCAGACCCTGGTGCAGCTGTTTGCAGGCTCTTGGTTGCATGCTGCAACTGCCCAGAGCCCAGGCCAGCTATGGCAGGCAGCTAGAAGGCTGCAGACAGCTGCGCTGGGCTGTGGCCAGGCTGCATGGTGGTGGTGGCTGCATGCACGCCTTGGAGAAGACAGTGGGGGAGGGGCTGGGGTTGCACTATCCCAGGCCCCTTCATGGCTGTGCTCCCTGAGGCTCATGTACAGCTAAGCTGGTACCATGGAGCCTGGCCAAGCCTCTCGATTTTGGTGCAGCTGTTTGCAGCTTCCTGTCTGTCTGCTACAGCTGACCTAGGCTGTGGGGAGCTGCAGCAGGTAGTGGGCAGGCTACAAATTGCTATACCAGGCTCTGAAGCCCTGGCGTTGGCTCCGTGGCAGTGGAGGGTGAACCCGTGCCTCGTGGTGCAGGGCAGGGAAAGAGCCAGGGCAACGCAATCATGGGCCCTTCCCCACTGTCCATGTGGAGGTGCACGTGCATCCACTGCCAGCAGTGTGGATTGGGTCTCTCATAGCTTTACTGCTGCCTGCCTATGGCATGCAAGTGGGTCGAGGTTGGGGTGTTTTTGGCACTCTGGACAAAAACGTTTCTGACCCCTGAATTAAACCGATGCACCTGTTTTTTCTTTGAGTGTATTTGTTTACTTCCCACCTTCACCTAAGGGTGGCTGGAAAGAATGGCTTTGTTGGCAGTCCCTCAATACAAGTATGACAGCCTTCTCATGTTTGATTGCAAATGTGGCAAATAGTTCCAGGAAGAAGTAGATCCTAGTGAGGTTGGGTCACAGTTCGTTCTTTTGTCTCTCTCATCTATCCACCTTCATACTAATATGTTTGCTCAAAATGATCGATGCCTTGTCTTGTATCACAGTACCACTGGGGAATAATTCAGTGCTCAAGTCTCCCAGGTATAGACGATAATATACATTTCTTCAGATTGGCCTTCAAGGTGTCCTTGAATCTCTCTTTCTCATGTCTAGATTGGTTACCATTGGTGAGTTGGGATCATGGGACTTGATTTTAACATTCTTACAACATATCGTGTTCAACAGAGTGGGTGCCGTATAAAAATGCTTTCAGTGCTGGCAATATTTGCTTAAGCCAAAATGCTGGCTTTCATCCTTCTGTTTTTCCAATTGATATGGAGGGTTTCTAAAGACATTGTTGATAATTAACATTCTGAAGTTCCTAGGCTTTCCTGATTCATCATCCAAGTTTCACACCCATAGAACAAAGTAGGGATGACAACGGCATTGTAGACGAGTTGTTTGGTTTGTGTTCTGATGTCATGATCATCAAAGACAGGATTTCAGAGATGTCCAAAGGCAACAGTGGCAGATTTTATCTGGTGCTGAATATCATTGTTTATGTTACCCAAGTAGGAGAATATCATTGTTTGTTACCTTTTCATGAAGTTGACAATGAGTTCAAATATTTCATATACTTCACAGAAGCAATCAAGAGTGACCTGGAGTTTTTCAGTAGAGTGAGCACGCACGACATAAAAAACATTATATTGAAGATTGTTATGGAGGTGCTGGTTATCTTAGATTTGGAATGTAACCAATTGATTTTTAAAGAGATTCTTATCCATGAGATATTAGATGCTGACTCCAGATGGAAGTATATCAGCAATGAGATGTGGAATAGCTGCTGTATGAATAGAGAAGAGTGTTGGTATAATCGCATATCCTTGCTCGATGCCAGGTCTCATAGCGAAGGGATCCATTTCTGAGCCATTGCTTATGATGGTTGCTATCATGTTGTCACGGAGGAATCTGATAATGGTAACAACATTTTGGCAGACCTCCAGATTTTATCAGGATCTTCCATAGGGCCTCTCTGTTGATAGAATCAGAGGCCTTAGTTAGGTCAACAAAGGCCATGTAAAGATCTTGGTGTGGCTCGTGTTATTTCTCCTGTAGCTGCATAGGGACAAAGATTATAGCTATTGTACCTGTGAACAGTCTGAAACCACACTGGGACTCACTTAGAATCTCCTCAGCAAGAAAAGTAAGTTTATTGAGGAGAATGCAGGTGAGAATATTTCCACTTATAAACAGGAGTGTAGTGCTACAATAATTGCTACCATCCCCCTCCTTGAATATAATGTCGATTCTGGCATCTCTCAGGTCACTGGGAATCAGTTCGTGTTTCCAGATTTTCATAATGACAATGTGTAGCTGGTGAGAGGGCTTTTTTCTACCTTGTAAATTTCAGCTGGTCTTCCATCGGGACCACGTGCTTTGTTCTTCATCTGCGTAATGGTTATCAAGGTGTCTTGCTAAGTTGGTGTATCTGTGAGGTAGTCCTTAACAGGGTGTCGTGGAATAGATTTGGTATTGTTTT